CGTGATAAGATTTCGTCGAAGCAGTTAAGGATAAACAATAATTAGCACGACGTTTTTGTTCCTCAATGTTTCTAAAACACGCTTTTTCCTCTTTTTCGGCCAATTTTTTGTCCACTCCAGCTAAGTAACAAGGTCGACCTGGCTCTCTCTGGCGCTGCAAGAAGATTTTATCTTCATTTATCTTTATTAATTAAAGCGCGTCAGCATGTGCAATGTCAAACAAATTGTCTAAGTTTGTAATTAACTATTGTCGACGCTGCTCGTACACGTCTTGTGTTTTGTTCGCATTTTTCTGCAAACTTCTCCAAGCTTGGTATAATGTAATTAGCTTCTTAACACAGTTAGGTAAAGCTTTAGTTGGTATACGTGCCTTTTCCCAATAAATAATGCACTCATGAATAGTAAGATTTGCGCTTTCAGTAATACTTAAATTCACTTCACGAATGTTGTAGAACAGAACTGCCAATACTTGTCCATTAGAGGGAAGTTTTGAATCAGTGATTTGATGTTTTACATCCCCAATTAAAAATATTTCCTTTTTAAAACTGCGTAATCCTATTGACATATAGACTGAAGCAAAATAATGCGCTTAATACTAAAACAAACAAATAATAACGAGTACTGCAATAACTTTGCTGTGATGCGCTAAAGGATGCAAGTTCTGACATGTTTCGACAAGTCGGCACGGGTTCCTTTACTTCAAATGACATGAAAATTTATTTACAATTGTTTTGACACCATTCAAACATAATTACAGGGTATGCGTTGAAAAAAAAGAATTTGATTTTTTTGGGACACCCTAACAAATAGAAAACAAAGAAATTTTAATACCCCATCAAGAAACACAGGCAGGAATTTTTTTAGCAAATACAATAGCAAAACGAGAGCAATCTTATATTAAAATAATTAACACTACAAATAAAAATGTGACCATTGATAACCTAAATATAAAGACAGAAAATCTCAAAGATTATGAAATTATACAACAATCACAAACAACAAATAACAATAAAGAAAAATTAGACAAACTTAATAAGAATTCTCCCACTTTCGTTAAAAATAAATTAAACAATTTATATACAGAGTTCATAGACATTTTTGCTTTAGAAACAAAACCAATTTCAGTTAATAAATCCTATAAACAAAAGCTTCGCATGAAAGACAAAACCCCCACCTACACGAAAAACTATAGAATACCACATGCACATAAAGAAGAAATCAGCAAACACTTTGAAAATCTCGTTAAACATAATATAATTGAACCTTCCGTATCTGAATATAATAGTCCAATCTTGTTAACATAGTTCCTAAAAAATCATTACCAGGTAACACAGACAAAAGATGGAGATAAGTTATGGATTATAGAAACATTAATAAAAAATTAATAGCCGACAAATTTCCACTTCCAAGAATTGATGATATATTAGATCAACTTGGTAGAGCGAAATATTTTTCTTGCCTAGATTTAATGTCAGGTTTCCACCAAATAGAGCTAGCAAAAGAGTCAAGAGATATCACATTATTTTCTACTGACAATGGATCATTTCAATTTAAAAGATTGCCGTATGGACTCAAAATAGCTGCAAATTCATTGCAAAGAATGATGACGCTAGCCTTTTTAGGTTTAACACCTGCACAAGCATTTCTCTATATGGATGACTTAGTTGTCATAGGTTGTTATGAGAACCATATGTTAAAAAACTTAACGGATGTTTTCTCAATATGTAGAAAATATAATTTAAAACTACATCCTGATAAATGCCTATTTTTCAATCATGAAGTGACATATCTGGGACACAAGTGTACAGATAAAGGCATTCTCCCTGACGACAGCAAATTTCAAGCAGTGCAAAACTACCCAACACCACAAAACGCTGATCAGGTGAAAAGATTTGTAGCGTTCTGTAACTACTACAGACGATTTATACCCAATTTTGCGGAACATTCCCGCATACTGACAAGGTTATGCAGAAAAAATATAATATTTGAGTGGACAACTGGATGTGCCAGTGCATTTCAATATCTTAAAAATGCATTATTGCATCCAAATATATTACAGTATCCTGATTTCAAAAAACCATTTTGCATAACAACAGACGCCAGCAAATTTGCTTGCAGAGCGGTATTAAGTCAGGAATATGAAGGCAAGCAACTTCCTATAGCTTACGCATCTAGATCATTCACAAAACGTGAATCAAATAAATCCACAATTGAACAAGAATTAGCAGCCATACATTGGGCAATCTCATATTTCAGGCCATACATATGTGGTAAGAAGTTTTTAATAAAGAGCGATCATCGCCCATTAAGTTATTTGTTTGCTATATAGAATCCATTATCAAAACTGACAAGAATGAGGTTAGATTTAGAGGAGTATGAGGTAAAGAAAACTATGTTGCGGATGCGCTATCCCACATAGAAATAAATGATTTAAAAGATATACAATTAACGATCAAATGTAACATTATAACACAGTCAATGGGTAATAAAATAACATACGAAGACGAAAATAAAAAAGATCAAAAAATGAATCAAAAGCCCAAATTAAATGTATATGAAGTAATAAATAAACATGAGATAAGAAAATAAAACGAGCTCAAATTCGATCCTCCAAAATTATATATTAAAAATGGGAGGAAAATTATAAAACAAATAAATACCTCTACTATAATTTGATTGTTCAAGAGAAAATTGATTTAGATCAATTATTCACTAGGCTATATGCCTGCAATCACAAGAAAATACAATTGTCCTTAGACGACAAATTGTTTAAATATACCCGGGTTGAAAATTTTAAAATAATGGGCAATAAAATATTAAAAAATACAATAATTGCGTTAACGCCAAAATTGATTCAGATAAAAACATAGAAAGAAATAAATAAAATCTTAAAAGAAAATCATGATGATCCTGTGGCAGGCCACCCAGGAACAGAATGTTGTCTAAAATTCGACAAAAATATAAATGGAGAAATATGACCATTGACGTTCGAAGATATATAAAGAAATGCGAAAAATGCAGTAAAAATAAAACAATTACTAATACTAAAGAACCATTGATAAACAGAAACCCCAACGACAGCTTTTTCGACAGTTCAAATAGACAGTTTAGGTCCTTACCCAAAATCTGAAAATGGTAATGAATATACGGTCACAATTTTGTGTGATTTAACTAAATATTTAGTAGCAATGCCCATACCTAGTAAACATGCTAAAGTTGTTGCCAAAGCAATCTTTGACAATTTTATTCTCACTTATGGCCCGATGAGGACGCTCATTACGGACATGGGAACAGAATACAACAATGCAATTTTTACTGAGTTGTCCAAGCTTTTAAAAATTAAACATAATACTTCAACACCATACCATCATCAAACGGTAGGAGCAGTAGAACGTACACATAGAACTTTCAATGAATATGTACGCTCGTACATATTTATTGATAAAAACGAATGGATGAGTAGCTCAAATATTTTCTTACTGTTATAATACTACACCATCCACTGTACACAGCTATCGCCCCTTTGAATTAATTTTCGCTAAAATACCACCGAAATATGACTTTTTAAAACAAGGAAGCATAAGCCCACTATATAATATAAAAGCTTATGAAAAAGAAATCAAATTTAGACTTCAGGTAGCACAACTCATCAATTAATAAGCAAAGCAAAGAAAAAACAAAAATCACATAAAAAGAGATTAAAATTTTTTGAACAAAGAAATTAAAATTTGTATTTCAAAAATCATAAAAACAAAAACATATATTTTTCATTATAATTAACTTTATTTCCAATTTATAGATATAAGATTTAAATGAAATTTTAATATCTACATATATATAAAATCGTTTGTTCGTCTGTTCGTTACTCAATAACTTTTTAATGACTTAACTAATCTTCTTGATACTCTCAGATCTTATTTATATAGTTTTTCGGCGTAACATAGACTATTAAATATAACATAGTAACATAGACTATTCGATATTAGTTATAATTTTAACTTAAATAATAAATTAAATAATTTCTGTTTCAAACTGTCTGACAGTTTGAATGATACTGATTTCTGTTTTGTTTATTTTTGTGTATTTTTGGGTATATTGTTCGAACTTTTACGAAGTAGCAGAAATAACAGATATAATAGAAATTCTAAATGCTGTTTTGTACGTATTAGTTACAAAACACAATTTTTATTTTAATGTTTTTATTAAATTTGTTTTTTCTTTAAATTTAGGAATAAATTTTGTAATTAAATATATAAACCGCCCTTATGCTGTCGCGGATCGCAATAACTAGAAAGTATGTTTATTATTTTATTTTTGTGTGCACTTCTTTAAATTTTAGATTTTAATTTAGTTACAAACGGAGCGTCTGCAATTAGAGTGTTGCAGTAACAAAAAGAAAACTGTTCAAGTGACAGTAAAACATTTAAAAGTGTTTTATTTATTACTATTATTTGACATTATTCACTTAATAAATTTTTAATATACGTTTTTGTATTATTTACAATCTCTTTTTTTCTTTAACAATTCTGATTTCAATTTAGTTCTGTTCCACAAGCTTTTATATTAATGCGAGCTGAATTAATAACTACAAACCAACTCGAGAACAGTGCTACAGAGCCCAAAAAATCCTTTTAAGACTACTGCTGACTGCCTTTTAAACAAAACTTCTATGAATCTTATCTTCTAAACTTCTAAGAGTTTAGAAGGTAAGTCAAAGTGACGAGCTGACCTTTGTTTCTGCTATTGTGTAGGTCTCATATGACGCTGCCTACTTTTAGGCATGCCTTATGATTGAATAGAAAATAAACAAACCAATAACGTTCTTTTTAGTCTGGATGAAAATTTAAAAGCATATAAAGCATTTACCTGTGCCTTTCGATTCATAACACAGAAAGAAATACCATTCCTGGTACTTACAGTTTCAAAAAATAATTTACGATTAATTAAATACAAGAAATACTTCTAAGATTTAAATATATAAAGATGAATTTAAAACTTACTTGAAAACATCCACACCAACCACGTCTGCCTCGGAATGCTGGCATTTTTTTTTGTTGCTGATTGCGGTAGAATTTTTGTAAAGGCGTTTCTTTGATTGCTTCCGATTTGTAGCCAAATGTATAATCTAATATATTTTTCGCATAATAAGAGCCATTGCTGATAATACCGTTGTCTTCATTTTTATCTATATATGCGGTTTCTGACTGTTGTTGGTGCCAATATTGTTGTAGACTGTGCAAGCAATTGAGATTGGAAAGACTTACCTTCAATTGACTGATGTCAAATCGCTGATGGAAGGATGTTGATGAGGTATCGCTAGTGGCGCTATTAGCGGATAAGTTAAGAGTATGTTCCTTGTTACCTTGTTGTATATGTCGTGGGTGTTGAATATCAATTTGTTGCAGTTGAATATTGCCACCAGACTTTTGTAGGATGTTATTTGGTATATTTTGTAAATTTTCGCTTAAGTCACTAAGCGTGTCGGATTTGTTGGCAAAATTAATAGGACACGATTGGAAAGTCTGTAATATACAACAAAATTATGCTCTTATATACGATAAATGATATTCGTATAACTTATCAATAAATAAAATATATTAACCTCTCTATACATTTAAAATATAATAAATATGTTTGTCAAGATGCTTATAATATAGTGAAAGAGACTTCGGAGACTAAATGAAACTTCTGAAGAGCAGATGAGGTCATCAAATGGATTGGTTATTTAAATTATCTAACATGTACTATAGAGTTAGTTACAAAATAGTTGAAGAAAATAAATTTTTAAAATAATGTTTGAATTTGTAAAGAATTTTTTACTTTACTACTTTAAAAATAACTTTGAAAATCAGCTGACGCAGATATAATAATATAATTACAAAAAACCGATTTGCGTGAATGACCTCGATTCAAAGAGGTCAAAGATTATAGAAGTTTAAAAGTAAAATGTTAATTTGACTGGACTATTAATGATTATAATGTACTAATTTTAGCCATCAGTTTGGGAATTCTGTTCAAAGTTATTTAACCCATATCCGCCCAAGGATTTTGTTTTTGGAATTTTTGCTCAAAATTTTATAGATTGGGTATATTTAGGTCAAAAATCACGAATCTGGAATCCAAAATTTTTTGCAATTTTTTGTTTTGGAAAAAGGTGGTGTTGATTAATCGAACAATGGGCGCTTAAGCTCATTTTTTTAATTTTCACTTTTTTACATAATGCGTAAACGAAAACGTTTTTTATTTTTAAATTAAAGTAAGATTTCAATATTTAAAAAAAAGATTATTGTTTAACTATTCCATTTTATTTTTTCTGTGGAATATTTCAAAACAATATGTGTGTAGTGGTATATTACACCTTTTACACAAATATGGGAAAGGTTTATGGCAGAGCTTGCACCGTCACTTTATATGCCTCATATTTTTATAATTCAGGTTGTTCCTCCTTGGAGATTGACATTGGAGGAAGGTTAATAGTGACCTCGGCATCACTGTTGTCATTTTCACTAGATGATTTTTGTCCTTCCGTTGACATTAGAAGTTGTTTCAAATTTACGTATTTTTGATGAATGCGCTGCTGTAGACTACTAATTTGAATTTGAGTTCTTATTTAGGTCGTGTGCGAGTTAGGCTAAGTTGCGTTCTAAATGAGGGAAATTCTAAGTTGTGTCGATAATGTATTGATGTGTCGATACGTGTTGATAAAATGGCAAAATGTGTGCAGTGCAAAAAATCCCAAAAAATCTCCCATTTGGTTTAGCATCAACTTAGCCTAACTCGCACACGTCCTTAAAATTCTATTCCTATTTATACAAAATTGATTTCAAATTACTATATTGTATTTTAGTACCGCACAAATATTTTCAAATTTAAATTTACATATTATTGCTGTCGTATAATAAATTTTAAATCACTCGCTTTTGCCGGCTGAATGCAATAAAATAAGTATTTACCGTACTTTTATTGCTTTAACTATTGTTCAGTGACTACAATAGCGATACATTGTAGTGCACCGTTTAAAAGAAAAAAACATAAGCATTAGTGCCCTTTGTTCGAAAAATCTGTGTAGGCTAAAGGAAAGACTTGATAAAAAAATTTAAGTGTTTTTCAAGTTTGACTTATTGGCAATAAAACTGTATAATTATTTTTTTCATATATTATTTTTATTCATAATTTTACCATTTTTTTAAAGTAGACTAAAAGTATTGGGCGGATATGGGTTAATAAACCAATGAATCTTTAAAGAATCTACTAATGAATTTAAAATGAATTTAAAAGCACTGTAAATAGAAGAACTTCTACATTTAGAAGTAGTCATAGAACAACATAAACTTTCAGTCCGATTTAAAACTTGAAACTGTCGCCACTTCTAGGATATCGCATTGAATTCTAAAGATATATAGAGGCCGACCATAAAGACCAAAAGTCGTACCCAAAACAAATTGATTTGCCCCCATATACAACATCAATATCATCAATTTATACAATGATGTACATAATTATTGGCACAGCAAACATATTGAACATATTAACATAGTTTTTATCCCATTAGTACAGCGATTAAATTCACGAGTTCGAATAATAAGCTCGGTAACCGAGCAAAAGTGCAACATTTTACGCTAACTCGTGCTTGTATCGATTTGTTAACAACAGCTCTTATAATCAGCTGTTTAATGAATTTGTAAATTATTGTGAAAACAAAAGAGATTCAGATATACATACATATATATCTGTAGAGTACTTAAATACATTACCGAAAAGTGCACAATTCAACACTGTTCATTGTGCACTGCTTTTTGCTTAGTCGTTCATGGGGCAGGTGGCTTCTAGACATAAGAAACGGTAAACGTGTTTCGTAATTAAGAATAATAATAAAGGAAAATCTCAGATATTACACTGGCGACGAGGATGAACGCTCAATTTGTGCAGGTAGTGCGTAAAATTCCATATTTTGATTGCGACCATAATCAATGGCACATATCTAAAGCACAAATTAAACAATTTTTTATTGTTAATAATATTGAGGAGGACAAACAGAAGGCGATATTGTTAACAGCAATATCGGAAAAGTCGTATCAATTGCTGCAGAATTTATTATATCCAAAGAAAGCAGATGATAAGATCACCACGTTCATTAATTGTTTGGATGTGTTAGATAAACACTTCACGGCGCCAACATCAACTTTTGCGGAGCGATATAAGTTTTGTGGCGAACTCGCCACACATACTGCAGCGCCCTCTGTGTGTGAATGTACACGCACTCGCACCATCTGTGGGCAAAAGGAACATTTTTCAATGAGCAGCTAACTTCAGTAACTGGCGACTGGCTTCCTTCTTCTTCCTATTTTGCACGTTTTAGTAACACAACGTTTTTATCATTTTGTAAACATTTGTTATATTTATTTAAAATAAAGTGTGTGGTAAAAACCCACATAATTGGTGACCCCGACGCAAATTAAACACATAATTGGAAGCAGCGCAAGTTATTTATTTATTTCATAAAGTCAAAACAAACTTGCACAATGTTGGGTGACGCAATGCTGAACAAAGAAGCAGAAATGTCTAATGCCAACAAAGAAACAACAGCAAAGTCAGCAGCGGCAGACACGAATTTCACAACAGTAAAAAACGATATTGATGCAGTAAAGTTAACGAATTTGCCTTCATTTTTGCAAACTGACCCGGAGTTATGGTTTACTCAAGTGGACGGATTACTACACATCAATCGTATCAACTCTGATCTATCCAAATTCTACACGGTAATCACAGCACTAGACGGCGAAACGCTTCGTCAAGTTTCAGACATAGCAAAAAATCCGCCAGCTATGGGCAAATATGAAACGTTGAAAAATGAATTAATTTCACGATTTGGGGAGTCGCGTCAGAAACAATTGATTAAATTGCTAACGGATTTAGACGTGTCTAACAAGCGTCCAACGCAGTTGCTCCGAGAGATGAGAGATCTGGCAGCGTCAAATATGTCGGAAGACGCCTTGTCAGCACTTTGGTTGCAGCGATTGCCTAGTAACATTCGTTGCATCTTATCTGCGAGCAGCTCCAAGGATGTTAATCAAATGGCCGAATTGGCAGATAGAATAACTGACAATATGCCCACTCCTCATTATGTTATGGCTACCGCATCTGCAATTAACCGACGCAGTAACACAGAGGAATCAACATTGGAGGCACGTGTGACAGCGTTAGAAATATCTCTGCAACAAGTGGTAAGTAAACTAAGGGAAATAGCAATAGAGCTCAGACGACCAGCAAGCTCACAGGGGCGAAGCAGGGCTCGCAGTTCTAGCAGAACTCAGTTTAAAAGTCAGCGTGAAGATCGAAAAGTCTGTTATTATCACATTAAATTTGGAACAGCTGCAACAAAATGCTTAAAACCATGCGAGTTCGGCTGCCAAACAACTAATATCAAACAGAAGGAAAACTAAAACCGTTGTCGTCCACAAGTGCAGTAAACGACAACGCGCTGGAACACTGCACTGAAGAAGCTCGTTTACATGTAATTGATCGTATCTCAAATATGAAGTTTCTAGTTGACACCGGATCGGCCGTATCCATTATTCCTTTAGCAGCAATCACAGTGAAACGCAATCTAGTGCCAGATGATCTAAAATTATTCGCAGCAAATAATTCATTTATTAAAACGTACGGTACTAAGAGACTTAGCATCAATCTTGGTTTACGACGCAGTTTCAATTGGAACTTCATTATAGCAGACGTCAAATGTCCAATCTTGGGCGCAGATTTTCTGGCGAAATATGGTCTAATTCCAGACATAAAATCAAGACGGTTATTAGACCCGCTTACTACATTGTCGTCATCTGGTGCAGTTGAAACCACATCGATACATTCGGTATACACATTGGATCCAAATTCAAAATTCTTTACAATCGTCAACAAATACATTGATTTGTGCAGTGCAAATAACTATAGCCTCCCTGACGCATCTGTAGTCTGTCATCAAATAGTCACTGATGGTCAGCCAGTGCATGAAAGGTCACGCCGTTATTCAACGGAAAAATTAAAGGCAATTCGCGAAGAATTTTCAACGCTGTTGGAGCAAGGAATTATTCGTCCGTCAAACAGTCCGTGGTCGAGTCCAATTCACCTGGTAAAAAAGAAAACAGGTGCTTGGAGAGCCTGCGGGGACTTTAGAAAACTAAATGCGCAAACCAAACCAGATAGGTACCCAATACCATACCTAGACCAAGTAACGGAAAAACTACATGCTAGCAAATTTTTTTCAAAGATTGATATACATAGAGCGTACTATAACATACCGATGCAAGCTGATGACATATGCAAAACCGCAGTAAGTACACCCATTGGGTTATTTGAATTTGTAGTCATGCCGTTTGGTCTTAAAAACGCTACGCAAACCTTTCAAAGGTATATGGATTCAATGTTCAGGAAAATGCCATTTGTCTTCTGCTACCTTGACGATATTTTAATATTCTCAGAAAGTGAACAGCAGCATTTGGAACATGTAGAAGCAGTACTAAAAACA